AACCAACCACTGTCTCTGCTCAGTTGTCTCCAAAGTACTCCCAATACATTTGGGGAGCAAAACCAAGTTTCTTTCTAATTTCATCCTTAAGCTCCTGGTAAAGATTCAGCTTCTCATGCTTTAAATACTGCATTTTTTTATTAACCAAAATTTAAAGTTAGGAAAAAGTAGGAGACTTTATTTATAAAAACAATAAATAGTATCTGTGTGTGCATGTGTGTCTGTGTGTGTGTTTATATATATATATATATGTATCAAGGTTTTTGCCCTAAGGTCCATGCACTCACCAGAGAGAAAGAGGGAGGGAAAGTGAGAAATCACCCCACAGGAGTGGCCACACTGCAGTCCCTTCTCCTTCATTCTCCTCTTAGGACTTGGGGCACATACCCACCTGTGCATGACATATTCTTAAAGGGAAGAAGAAGGAAAAAAGAAACTATAAAAAAAAACTAAAAACAGCTGAAAGCCTTAACTCAATGTTCGGCACCCCTCAGGTTTCACACATGGGAAGCATTGCCACTGTCCCCAGAGCCAGCCTTCCCCAGCCCTCCCCGTTCTGACAATGCCATCTCTGCCTCCCAGACACCTGCATTCCCAAGCTCAGCACCACCCATGAATGCTCCAGCCTCCCCACTCTGTGGACCACCCAGGCCAGCAGTCCTGTGGCTTCTCCTTTCATAGTGCACCCTCCCTCCCCACTGCTTCTCCCCAAGAAAAGTGTCTTCTAATGCAGGGCTCCCCCATACTGTTCATGGCATGGAACCCACAGAACATCACTGTATTTGAACGATGCATGAATAAATGAATGAGGCTGAGTTTTGGAGGCCACTACCTGGCTACTGCAGCTGTCTTTGCCTCCTGCAGATCAGCTGAAGTCTGAGGAGAACCATTCCCCAGCCCCCCATTACCATTCACAGGATAGCAGTGGCCTCACCCTCTCCCCTAAGAGTTCTGCCCATCCATCTCCCTGCTTCTAGCTGCTCCCACCTCAAGCCAGAGTAGTCTTCCTTCATAGAATAATGCTCAGTAGGGAGTTTCCATGCTCTCTCTCTTAAACACTCCATGGTCCTCCCAGCACAGTAAAACCAGGAGAGACTCCTGAACCCCATGACCTTCCAGTCAAGGCTCACCAGCCTCATAGTAGGAGCTTGGGCTTGAATTCTGCTTCTGCCCTTTGCCAGTTGTCTTGGGAAACCAGCTGATAGTTCCATGCCTCAGTGGGCTCATCTGTATAGATGTATTGTGAAAATCAAATGAATACTCAACTTTAAAGCACTCGTGTCTGTATGTGTGTGTGTGTGTGTGTGTGTATAAACAATGAAATATATATAAACAACCACACCATGTAAGTGTTAATATTTATCATCACCTCACATCCACTGATTTTTTAAGTGTCTTTCTTTCATGAGTGAGAGAGATAGGGAGATTGAGAAAGACAGAGAGACAGCACCCCAACAGAGACTCAATGTCATCATTCACCCCCAGACTCAGCCAGCCCCAGGTCATAGGCGTACATGTGCCCAGAATATTCAGGTGTGTCTCCGGATACGAACCCAGAACATCCCCACATGGGTCAGCCTAGCTGAGTGTGGTGTCTTACGGTTACAGCACCGTCCAGCGTTGTAGTCCACTGATTTCATCTTTATTTTGCCATGTACTCAGCATCCCTACTCTTCACTTTCGAGAAATTTGTAACTTCCCAGGCATGCTGGACGTCCGAGCCCCTGCCCCACATGCTGACACCGTTGCCCAGTAATGTGCCTCTTGCTCTCTAGCCTAACACCTGCCTTCCATTCCAGGCCCAGTTCAAGTCCCGCCTCCTTTCAGACTTCTCCTCACTCCTATTACACTTATTTTCAATGTCATTTGTTTGGCACTTAATGTACAGTATTGTTATCTGTCTCTGTGATAAATACAGCCTGTCTTCCCAGGGAGATGAGAAGCTCCCAACGCTACCTCTCCCGCCTACCGTAGGTGCCCTAGAAGTGTTTGCAGATGATAATGATGATGACCAGGAGGGGATAAATCTGTTAAGCACGTTATTTGCTGCAGCCAATAAAAGAGCAGTTTCTTATAATGGCTTTAATTCACTTGGGAGATCAAAGTGAGATACGAGAAATGAAGTAGCTCTCCACTTGAATAATATTTTATTTTAATGGACAAATATTAACATTCTCCCTACCATCATTTAGTGGTCCTCTTCTGCTATTATTTGAAGGGAATAAATACATCATTTAAATTTTATTACTCAAGAATATTTCCATTACTGTTTACAGATATTCACTATATATAAATTTGAAGTTCCAACTCATCTTTTTTTCTCAAAGCAAACAATTTCTGTTACCATTAAGAAAGCAGTTATATGCATTTTAAATCATATTTACAAAGTCCCAGAAAGTCAGAAAAGAGTAGAAAAAAATGAAAACAACTTATTACTGATTTTAATAGAGTTGTGGAACATGCAGGGACCAATGACGAGAGACAGCATGGTGGAAGAGTCAGCCTTTCTGCGTAGTTGCCAGTTACTCTGACCTCTGGCCCTCAAAGGCAGAGCCGTCTTTCATGTGTCTGTGTCCTGAGACCCTCGTACAGTGCTAGATCCATGCAGGGGGTTGGAGATGGTTGTCAAATTGGAAGTGAACTCGAAGACCAGACAGTGACGCAGTGGTGCTACCACTGGACCCACCTGGGAAGAGCCAGGTTTCACATCCCAGTGCCTTCCTTTTCCAATGACCCAGTAATATGCAAAAACCTGTGTGGAGAGGGGTTCGAGGCTTTGGGGAAGAATAACTGGAAGGATGAAATGGCTCTCACCAGAATGTGGAAAGTTGCAGTGGAATCCTTTCAGGGGATAGAGATGAATGTTTCGGTACACAAGTTATGTTTGAGGCCCCAGGAAGACGTCGGAGTGAAAATATCGAGGAGTCGAGTCGAGCAGTCTGACTGGAGTACATGCTCCAGTGAGGTCTGGCATGCACACATCTCGCCGGAGCACTGTGGCCAGTGAGGATCATGGGGATGGGCGTGGACACAGATGCTAGAGGACTGGTCCTTGGGAGCTGCAAGAACAAGGTGTCTGGGAAGGAGGTGGGAGAGATCAAGAAGGAAAACAGAAGTGTGTGCTGGAAGCCAATAGTAAACTGTTTCCAGCAGGGCACACCTGGGTCAGTGCTCCTCCAGAAGTCATCCGGGCCAGCAGGTGAGCTGCAGGGGTTGGGCAAAATGGAGCGTGGATGGAGTGTGGCTGAGAACTGGGGGTAAAATAGGAAGACACTGGACACAGCAAGTGAGCACATCCCTCTAATGGGTTCAGCACGCAGTAAAGAAAAGCAGAAAGACAAGGGACTCGCTTGAGAGTGAAATGAGATCAAGATCAGTCACTTAAGGGGGCTGATTAAGATCCAGTGATCCAGGCAAAAGATGAAGTAGGTGCAGCTCATGTGGTGGACGTGCCAGACGCTCTGCCTGGGGCCGCATCGGCCGGGGAGCTCTTGTGGATTTCATACAGGGCATTGCCAGCACCAGCCTAGGCCGTTGGCCTCCATCTTTAAAATGGAAAAGAGCAACTGAATGTAGGTGAATTTAGGAGATGAACAGCAACAGCACTTAGTTGAAATGCTAAAGGCAAAGGAATCAAGGATAAAACACTAAGGTAATACTCAAAAATAGTGAAGGTTGTTGAATATCATTCAGAACGCAAAAATAGAAAATGCAATTAATTATCGATTATCCTAACAAATGTTTCTTTCAACTCCAGGAACATGGGGATACATTTCAAGTGCTGCATGTGTTGCTAGAATGATAAATCGGGAAGGGCAGCATTTAGGAAACATTGCATTTATTTGCGCATGTGTGTACAGGTGCATAGGCAATACAGATGCAGATGATGTAGACGTAGGTGTGAGCCATGTCCAGGAGGGTATGCTGCCAAGATATTTAGAGCAGTTATCTCCGAATGGTGGGATTTCAGGTGACCTTCTTTTTGTTTACTTTCTCCATTTTAAGTATTATGTTTTACTTTGTAACTTAAAAATCAGAATACCAGTTTTGTTCTTCTACAAAGAAAACTAAAGAGGCAACGAAAAATGCAGGAGGTGGCTTACAGTTGATCAAACCCTTGCTGGATGGCTGTCTCCATTTTTAAATTCTGATATACCAAAGGCTACTAACAACATGGAAATTCCAATCTGAATGAAAAACAGGAAAAAAAAAAAACGATGTCTTTAAAATCATAAATAAGAAATAAAAGTTATGTTTGCTGTGGAGATTAACTAAAAGTGAGATCTGTAATGTCCTGTTAGTCTTTCTGAATATCTTTTGTCATTATTGAGGAGAAGCAAGGAGGTAAAGAAGACAATGCTGAGAGAAAACGACCTATCACTGAGGGCAGGAAAGAGACCGCAGCCTATCTTTCCCTTTCATTTGCGTTTGGTTAGTCTCTAACCTAGAATAAAAGTCTTTACTTTGTCTCTTGGTCTCAGTGAGGCCACCCAAAACCCCATGTATTTATCTTTTGTAAATTATGTTTATCTTTAATATTGTATGCTCATGATTCTTTTATACACCGAATGTCACACTTCACTGATGGCGGGAGACCACCCTCGCACTCTGCATCTATTTTTTATTTTACATGGTATTTTGTGAGGCCTGCAGGCATCTCTATAGTCCTGTATTGTATATATTTGCATTCTTCATTTCCAGCCACAGTCCCAACCTGCACCATTCATGTAGCATTTACTACTTCGACGTAGAGCTGACGGTTACCAGGATTCATTGTTGGCAGCTTGTAAATGCACGTGAGCCTAGCAGTGCTGTTAGCCCTTAGGAAGCAGTGGGCTCCACGCTTGGGAATCCAGATTCAAAACTGGATGGTATCTGTGGGCATTCTTTGAGGGAGGAAATGGTTTAATGGAAACCCAAGAGGCTGAGGTGGAAGGAAGTGATGTTAGAAAGAAACAGAGCAAAGAAATTAGTGCGTGTCTCTCCTTTGTCTTATTTAGGAAGCTTACAGGTTCGATACAACTTGGGTGGCACCAAAGAGCCATATAACATCGATGTGGACCACAGGAGCATGGCCAACGGACAGCCCCACAGTGTGAACATCAGCCGGCATGAGAAAACCATCACTCTTAAGGTACACATATACGTGCAGATAAGTTCCATATAGTCTAGTACGACGGTGTCAATGCCCTGCCTTGGACACTGGTTTTGTTTGTGAGTATTGGGACAGATGGACATGATGTTTATTAGACTTTCACCTACAGGTGCTCAACTACTGACATTGAAAGATACTGAATTTTCATAGGACAGGTAATGACAAAACTGATGATGAATATATATTTTAGGGAATGGTAGAATGGATGTTTACTCTAAATGTCAAATGTTCTTGGTGGCTTTCCCAGTTTTAGATCCACCTATCCGTCTGCCATTTTTATCCACCTCGCTATGTTTCTCCTCAGCATTCTCAGATAGCTGAAGCATCTCATGTTTCCCAACAAAAATTATTTTGGTTTATCTGACCTATTTCCTTCACGGCTCCAAAACAATATGAATAACATTTTTTTTTTCTCCGTGGAGGCTTTGCCTGAAATACCCTCAAACCACCATCTTTGCCCAGAATCTCCGACTCTTGTTGTAGGTTTTCAGTGCACAAAGGGGTGGTTTTATTATGACACTCAAGTTTTATTTCAGGCTCATTCATCGCCCTACCCCCACCAATGAAGAAACCAGCCTGGGAGACACCATGAATAAAACATAACATGAGGAGGTCTCCCTGGGAACAAAGCCAAAAGATCAAGGACAGAAGCTGTCGCTGCATTCTCTAGAAGGAGTTCGAAATAGATACCTGTCAGGGAAAAGAACAGCGGGAGGATGCTGCTCTGTCAGAGTGGAGTGTCATTTGGCAGGGGCTCTGCAGCCTCTCAGACCTCATTCAGATTCGGCTGGATACAGTGGAAGTTCAGAAAAAGCACAGGCCCTGTCTCTTTCGAGTGCTGGTAGATGTCAAATTCATAACTTGATACGGGGTTTGCACATGGCCTTTAACAAGAAATAGTAAAGGGTGTTTTAAGGGGAGGCCTTCCCTGGGAAGACGACAGTGTGCTGTTACAGCTCGTTGTACCTATAAGTCAATGAGGTGTAAATAATGTGATCTTGGGGTTACTGCACACCCTACGACTCACACAGGGCCTGGTACACGTGAGGTGCAGCAAATGTTTTTGTGCACACGCTAAGCTCATCTTTAACCATGACTCAAATTTTGTTCAGAAAAGCCAGCAAGTTCAGCAGACAGATGGGACTATACGATCTTATCAACATTGTGTTCATTGACTTTTGATTAGACAATCTCTAATTTCAAACTACCCAATCTGTCACCACTCTTAAAGAAAGTGACTTATCTTGCCATTTTGCCATTGCAAAATAATAATTAAAGTTTAAAAAAGCAATTGGCTTTAGAGACAGTGTTACAGAGGAGACCCACCACAGCCCTAGGAGCTGATAGGGTTAACCCTCACTCTTAGCCACAGTGAGTCAGAGATTGACCTGAAGAAAGGAGAAGAACAGACTATTTTAAAACCTTGGCGGGGAGGGGAGGCCAGCAGATGGCATAGTGGTTTCATCACTGAACTTCTACATGGCTGACTGTGGTTCGAGTCCTGGACCCAGTGCTTAAAACTCATGCCATGAGTGTGTGTGTGTGTGTGTGTGTGTGTGTGTGTGTGTGTGTGCTCAAGATCCTAGGAGGAGAATGGAGGAGAAAGGATTGAGGCTTGGCCATCCCCCTGGAAGGGGGTGATTTCTCATTTTCCTTCTCACTGTCTCTGGCTCTCTCTCTCTCTCTCTCTCTCTCTCTCTTTCTCTCTCTCTCTCTCTCCAGTGAGGACAGTGATTTCTGGCAATAAATAAATAAACAAACAAACAAAAAGATAATCCTGTGGGGTGTTGGCAAAAGGTGGTGTAGTGGTTAAGGCAGCTGGACTCTCACATGACCAAATGCAATCGAGTTCCAGACTCGGCAGCTTGAAAAATCATGCTGAGCGTGATTTTTGTGCCCAAAATCCCAGGAGAAGGGATTGTAATATGCTCACTTTCCCTCTCACTGTCTCTCTGACTCTATCCAGAGAGAGCACATACCCTAAAACAAAAATCCTTAAAAATAAATAAATAAATAAATAACCAAAGAAACAAACTTGGGGATTTTGAGGCATAGAATGCCAGACATCTAGATAGTGGAGGAGCCAGAGCATTGCAGAGAATCCTGGCACCTCAAGGATTTGGGGAAGAGACTGCTTCTATTGCACAGGATTCTTCTGGTTGCAAAGAACAGAAAACCAATGCAGAACTAATTGTTGTAGGAAATTTCTAGGATAGCTCATAGAATTATAAAATTTAAGAAAGAGCAAACAAAAACTTGGGAAGAAAATGCAGAATTCCTGGAGGATTAAAATTATAGTTTATAATGCCATGGGCCCATCTCTGTCTTTCCATTTGTATCTCTGTCTCTCCCCCCTCTCCCTCCCTTCCTTACCCTTTCACTCTACCCCTCTATCATCTCTGCCTCTCTCTCAGAACTGAGTTAATTTCCTCTTACTACAAGCCTTATTGTAGTAAGCCTTATTGGTCACATTTCATAAAATACGGTCACAGGAGTACAGGTTTATGGCTTCTGAATTTTGCTACCAGAAGGGTCCTAATTTTGTTACCAGCCAAACTAAGTTCAACTGCTTCTTCTCACTATCCATGAAACAAGGGGCAAGACTGGAAAAGAAGGGAGTTTATTTCTGTAACCAGTTACAGGAAAACAGTCAGCATGTACCATCAAACTGTCTTGAAAAGCTCAACATGTTCTCAGTGTTTATAAGTACAAAGTACAAGCACCTGCAAATATTTCCTCATTACTATCCATCAGTTGTTTCCCCTGAGTAATTATCCTGACTCCTTCAATACCCATGCCTGGTTTCTTATCTGCCTCTTCCTCATGTAGCTCTCCCTATGACTCAGCATGTAGTCACATTGTTCTTGTTAGTGAGCCCACCCTGTTGGAGGAAGAGGAGAGAATGACCAATGGGCCCTAATCAGATCTCAGGGCTAGAATGGAGAATTGGGGCAACTCCCCAAAGAGGGCAGAATGCAGTTCTAGAGAAAGGAGGGAGGCATGACTACGAGAAACACTGGATGCACTGCACTCTGGGGTGGGGAAAGAGCAGTGTGACAAGAACTCCAGGGAGCAAGAAGGAATTCTGCCCTAGGAATCAATCAGAATCTGGCCTCTCTTCAGATAGGTGTATCTCCCCATGACTCAGCACTTGGTCAGAAGGTCTCAGGCCTTTCTTAATTTTGAAATGGCTGCAGTAAGCCTCCCTCCTTCTGTCAGATAGTAAAATTAGTGTTTAGAAAACCAGATGCTTCAACCTACCGGAATGCAGCTGGGAAAGACTTCATGGGCTGGGGGGTTCTGGTGGTCCTCAGCCCAGCTTCTCCCATCCAGCCCAAAGTCTTCCCTGCAGCACTGCCCTCTCCTGAAGAAGAAAAACAAAGGTAGGAGATGGCAGATAAAGAAAAGCTATGACTCCTTCCTGTGAAAAACAGGTCCCAAGACTCCTTGCCCCCAAAGCCTGTTTTCTTTCAAATAGGGAGGTCTTACAGAGCGTTGATGTAACTCTAAAGGTGGCTTTAGCACTCCAAAACACCCTCATTTTTGTCTTGAAAGAAAAAAACTACAAACCCATCTTGAGAACTTCTACAATCTCAACAATGAATAAAAAGAGATATCATAAAATGCTAATAATGACTATTTCCATGTGAAGGGATTATAACTGTGCTTATTTATGGATTTATTTCCTCTAGAGTCTTACATATTCCCTCATTTTCTATTATGAACAGGTATTGCATTTTTGTAATAAAACAAAGAAAACCTTTTAAATATGAAACATACATATATCAGCAACCTATCCTGATAGCCCCCAGTTTTAATGAAATAAAGTGGCAAAGATATAAACTAATTTCAAAGTAAAATTGATTTACCATTGAAGGACAGACATAAGGCTAGTTCAAAGATGAGTTTAAAGTGCTATGGAATGGTTTAAGGTGAACTGTTAGGCGTTTATACCTGCTCAAACATCATTTAATTTAAACGATGTTTATCAGTGTTTATGGTGTTTTTAAAAGCAGGTTTACTTTCCTAGCTGGGTTTGGCTAAAGCTAACATTAAATTAATTTGCATTCCCTGAGCACACACCCTCTGAAACATGCTGGGCACTTGAGGGAAATTGACCTTGGATGAAACATTTGCTGCCAACAAACAAAGTGCCCAGTCTCCACAGATAATGAAGAGCCGACTCTAGTAGCTATCAGAGACCAGAGTGAACCAGAGCCCGTGACAACCCTCGAGTGGCGTCATTTATGAAAACTCACCATTGCACGGGGATAATAGCTTAAGGCTTAATGCCAGTCAAAATGTAAACAAACCGGGCTCAGGCAGTGTCTGAAATAGTCTTATATGCAATGAAAACTCACGCCGGTTAGCATGAATACAAAAACCACACGTTGCAATGAACAATGTCAAGGCCTCGTGTGAGTCATCCTCTCCACTTTCCTTCCTTCCTTTTTGTTTTCCAGGGGGTTTTTTCTTTTCACTTTCTTTCCTTTCTTTCTTGTCAACCGCGTTGTACAGGGACCTAAGGGGGGTTGCAGGGAATTAAATGAGAGAATTAAAGGAAGTCACAGAAAGTAAGGCCCCAAGAAAGGGGAAATAGGAGCACAATTATTTTTTATCGGCTTGCACAAAGTTGACTCTGAACTTCGCGGCACCCAGAAGTACACAACTCATAAGGACAAACGATGCCAGTTCCTCTAGAGAACTGAAACTTTTAAAATAAATGGTCCCTTTGATTTCCTTTAATACCATGGGTTATAAGTACCGGTAGAGAAAACAGTCCAGCCCAGGGACACTGGCGCTGTCACACACCTGAGGACACTTCACATGCACTAATGCTGATAGGCTCAAGGTATTGTGTGGAGCAGTTTACACACGTTTTCTCATTGAAATCTCACAAAACCCTTATGAGGTAGGCGCCATGAATATCCCATTTTAAAGACGTGCAAACTAAAACTCAGAAAGTGTGATAGAACCGG